GGCCTGAGAGTTGACAAGACAGGTGGTGTATCACGAGTGGACACAGCAGTTGCCAAACCAATTCTGAATAACTTCTTCTGTAGCTCAAGGTTTTAACTTTTTCGGAGTGTAATATCAACATTCTTCATCAGTGAGACTAAACAAATATGGACCCTGAATCTAACTAGAGCTCTCGTCCATAGAAAAGAATGCGCGCCAGGGAACCTACGTCCCTGCAGTAAATTACCTCATGGCGGCTTGTGCTCTGTCATAGACTGGCAACAACAATGCGCCCAAGCTGCCCCTCCTTAAAAGTCATAGCAGCAATACCCACGGCCGTAGAACTATGCCATGGGAAAGGAGACAGTGAGAGGAGAAAATAATGAACTGTGTCAAAGCTGTGTATTTCCTTAACACCCAGATGTAAGGAAATTCCCTACAGGCACAGAGATATAAATGTTCTAATGATTAACAAATTAATGTGAAGTGTGACTGTGTTTCAAGCGTTCCGTTGTATGTCAAAGACTCATCAGAGAAAAGGTAATGCGGAAAACACTCGGCTCCATGAAGTGGCGTTTCAGGTGTCTGATGCAACTTGGTTTTACAAACGATGGCTCTTTTAATAAAAAAAGCAACATCATCAAGGCATGCTGTGTCCTTCATAACGTCACTAAGAAGTTCTCCGTCCCTCCCCCGCCTGTAACTGGTAAAATTGAGCCCCTGCATCAAGCAAGTCTGGCAAACAGTGCCCAACCGAGATCATCCCCGAGGCCTTAAAAGCCAGGACAGAAATCTCGATGAAAGTTCTCTAGCAGCTTCTGTAGCCAGGGACACATTCGAATCAAGGACACAAAGAGGGATGCGTGTGAGCGGGGTGTTGTCATCAACATACATCGAGGACAAACGCACTGGACCCAAAATCCAGCTCATTATGCAAATGTAAATAGTTTGTTATTGTTTGACACATAAACGGGGAAAAATGTGACGCAGTTGTCTTTTCATTTAATTTAAAGGACTTTGTAAACACATTCAGATATATTTGTTAATTAAAAAAAATTTTATTTCTTGTACAAATAGAAAGTCATTCTTTTCACCAACATTTTTCGTTTTAGATGAAGCTGTAATTGGTGAAAACATTCTTCAGATCATTCCATAGTTGTTCCCTCACATATAATAGACAACAACAAGAGATGACATATTAAAAGTATAGGTAGGTAAGGAATGGAGAAACCAGTTTGAGGGGCTAGAATTTGCAGCCTATCTGGGCAATCTGCCCCTTCCTTCAGACTTCCGTACAGAGCCCCTCCTCAACCACACAACGACCCGGCGCACGCATGACCAATGAGGCACGAGATACGTTTGTGCGCCCACAGATGGAAGGCTGACAGGCAGGGAGCACATCCAGTTATTTTGCCGGGCCGGCTCCAGATGATTGGTCGTGCTTTCTCCCAGCGCACGGCTTCCACAGATGACATTTCTTTATGTATCTTATTGTCCAAAGCATTTAATATATTCAGTGCTATCAGGATGTTAACAGCCACTTCATGGAATAGTAACAAAAGTGTTTTCTGAAGTGAATGACCTTGTCACGATCTGGTCTGGTGTTGTTTTGTCTTGTGTGTCCTGATCTGTCTTTTGGTTTCCTGTTTTATTGGAAAAGTGTTCACCGCCGCGTCTTGTCCTGTGTGCTTTCTGGCTTCTGTGTTCCCGTCGCTGCCGTGATTACCCGATTGTGTTGAGTTGTGGTGTGCCCTGTGTTTTCTCCTCCCTCCCTCACCTGTGTCTTGTTTGTTGTGATTAGTCTTGTGTGCATTTAAGTGTGTTCTGGTTTTCTGTCGTGGTGTCATTGTTAAGATCCTTGTTGTTCGCCTTGACTGTGTTCATGGGGAGAGTAGTCTGGTATGTTACGTTTAGCCTTCGAAATAAAAGTATTATCTGTTAAACCTGCATTTGGTCCTGCCTCTGCTTTGCCTCAACCCTGACGCCTACCTTTAAGGGCTGATAAGATGAACACAATGTTATTACATTAAATAAATCTAAAGAGTTACTATGGAAAATTTAGTATTAAGGTATATAGGCTAGCCTGTTTTTTAATATTTACAGGTTTAGCAAATAGAGCATGTAGATTAGTTATTATAAGGTGCATAAAAGAATGATGATCAGTACTGTTCAAGTTGGTATAGTTTTATGTTTTTTGTTGAGAAACTCTTGTAGTGCAGTGGGTATATTCAGGTCTCATTCTCATAGATGTTCTCTTCAGCGTATTCTCAGTAGATGTTCTCTTCAGGTATCTCGATGAGACTGCAGGGCGGTCCATGACTGCATTTTGTGGCAGGAACACGTACTGAGAGCTGAAGATACACAAACAAATCTGTGGGTCATGAGGAAAGCAGAACTTTGGGGTTAAGTATAATGTCNATAATAAATAGTTAAACTTAGAAGTTGTTTGTCTTTCCTGGAATAAAAGAACACGATAATAACAATAGCATAGTGAAATGGCCACAGCTAGCTTTGGCTTAAACAAGCCAAAGCTAGCTGTGGCCATTTCACTATGCTATTGTTATTATCGTGTTCTTTTATTCCAGGAAAGACAAACAACTTCTAAGTTTAACTATTTATTATAAGAGAGCAAAATATATATATATCACTTGGCCAAGGACTCGTCACGTCATAGAAATCACAGGCAGCAAAGCTGTTATCTGTGTCACTATTTCCGTAAAGAGCCCCGAACCTCGTGGGCCAATACATTTTTACACAGGGTTCTGCCCATACATTTATGATTGGTTAAGACTAGAAGGAAATAAACCGTGGTTTAGACTTTGGTTCTCTCTGGTAGGTGCACAGTAGACAAAAGTCTCTTGGCAACACGATCTCCAATCAGCATTCGGCATGCCGGTGAAGTCCCTCCCTACTCTGTCGCTATCCTACGTAATTTGTTTTTGCTAAAGTTTCTTTGCAGACAGATAGTGGAATCCTCCATTCACACTGATTCCCAGTTATGCGGGGGCGTTGAGCACACACACGCGGCCAAGGCCAGAGCCCATAGACTGTATAGCCAGAGCCTCAATAACTCATTGTCTCTACAGTCTGCACCTGTCTTTTGCTACATTAATATTGCAAACTAAAACTTTCTTCTATGACTTTTCCCTTTGTTTCCTATCCAACCCATCAAAATGTGGGATTGGTGATTTTGTCTATTTATTCCAAATTCATAGCGACATCTCATGAGCACAATAAGCATAATGTAATAATAAGAATCCCTCTTGTAATTTTATATAAATTAGACTCCACACTATCTTGATTTGTCTCAAGCTGTGAAGGTTTGATTTATCTTTTTTATCGAAAAAATTTCTTATTTGAACCAATATTTTTGATATCAAACACCAAAAGATGTCAGATAAAAGTATTAAACTTTGATACCACTCATATCAATATACATGTGAAGCTAGCAGCTAAGCTTTTTGAAAGAAACTAACATTTGTGTTTGTTTTGTGTACAAATTAGATGAAACTATAACATGTTATGCTTCTAGTCATTATGCTAAATTAAGCAAACTAAGTGTAAGCTAAAATAATGTGTAATTTACTGGTAATTTATCGTTTTTCTCAAAAGTTCCAACTGCTGGAAGCCCATTTACCAGTGAAAAAATAGCCTTGTTAAGCCCCGAGCCTGTTTTTCAGGTCTCGGGCTCGAAAATGACATTCCCAGAACAAATGACCATATCTTCCCTTCTAAAAGGGTTAAATTAATAATAAATGTCATTCTCAAAGCAAGGTTACATCTGTGAGTTGAATGTAGAAGCCAAAACCGGAAGCTGCGATAACTGGTGGCTACCATTAGCAGCTAACTTTTACTCTCCGATTTTTACATAAAAATGGAATTATCGATTTATAAATATTTTTTTCAAATCCACAGAAACATTATCAACCTATGGATTAACCGATTCAGCCGCGTTTTTTCTCGTTTTAATGCCATTGAACAAATCTTTTGATCAGATTGACAGCTACGGTGAGACGATCTCCCGTAAAAGCTCCGTAAAGGTACGTGTTTGATGATGTCTGTGTTTGCTTCCCCTGTCGCGAGTTCGGATCACTCAGTGATGATATTAATACCTAAATAATCTCCGGAACCTCAGCTTCAATCGGATATCTTGTATGTGCAGCTACGATAAGTAATAAGGGTATATTTGATCTTGAGTTCTGTGCCAAAGTGCGTTAGCATTTTTCGCTCAGGGGTCATTTAGATGCTTCTTATGAGACTTGTGTTTTGTTTTGGTAAAAATGGTTTGTATCGTCACTTAGCTGAGATTCTTCCTGTTAATCTGGTATAACACATTAATAGGTTCTTAAATATTAAGATGCCCTGACACAGAGTGTCGTGAAAAATCAAAAACAAAGCCCCTTTGGGGCTTAACAGGTTTTAAGTCATTATAATGACAAACTTTCCACAAAATAATGACTCTCTCAAAAATAATTACCTTCTGTGGCAACATAATGAAATTAAGTTTTTGAAAATATTGACTTACTATCTCAAATAAATGACTTGATGTTGTAAAATACTGAAGCTATTTAATCTTGAAAAAACTTTGTAATTCATTATTTTTGAAAAGCTTTTCATTATTTGGAAATTTTAAGTCATTATTTTTGAAAAACTGTTCATTATTTTGAGATTAGCGATTATTATAATATTTGTTCTCATTATAATGACCTTTTTCTTTTTCTGGAGGAAATGGGCTTCCAGGGTTAACAACTATAGTCTACATAAGTGGGGTAAATTAAAGTTTTATGGTGAGTCATTAATTCTTCACTAACCTATGTGTTTAATATTTAGGATGCGCTTAAATATTAACTAAGCCTATTCAGCACCCTATGGATCCACAAAGACCGAGGGGACCTCCAGTGAGTCTGCAGGCTGAGCTGCGGGATAGAAAGGGTTAACAAAAGATGCAAGAAGTGCGTGAGCCTTTCTGAGCATGTGCTGCTGCTGCTGCTGCTGCTGCAGTGAAGTAAAATGTGTCAATTTCCATCGGACAGCAGAGACACGGTGAAGGAAGGAGAACCAGGGGCACCAGCCGAGCTGCAGACCGCCACCACGACATCCTGGACCATCTTCCCCGGTGAATGTGTATGATCCTCCTGGTGTATTCTGAGGGAGACACCGCACAGCTCAAAGGTAAAAAATAACCTGCACTGAGGATGATTCATGTCCGTCTTCAGAGCCGACATGAAGCCAACATGTTATCATGGCTTTTCACGAGAACAATATTGTGTAGTTTTTAAAGTGACAAAATGTGTTCTTATTATATCTGGATTGGAAATAGCTGTTCGGTTATCCTTAATGAGTGTTTGCTTGCAAGTTGGCAGCTTTAAAAGCATGTTTTAACTGTAACCTAAACTAAAAGCATTTTAAGCCAATGAATGTATAGTTAATATCTGCATGTAGTTTTTTAAAACAGGATGCATATCTCTTTATTTGGCGTGTTTTCTGTGCACAGTTGGGCTGTTACACCTGTTCAAATATGGATGGGACAGTCGAAATAAGATCAGAAAGAGGACACAAGTGGTAGTAACCCGTGTGTGTGTGTGTGTGTGTGTGTGTGTGTGTACTTTTTGTGTATACGTTAGTGATGCTTTTTAAGAAACGTCTGTTTTAGATCCCCTTTGGTCACATTTCAGAGGGCTGATTTGAATGTTTGGTAGAGGATAATAATCGTACCGCACTGCTCAGTTGGAAGGAGCGTGATGCTGCAGCGGAGTCCCAGCAGCCGAGCATGCGCAGTGGCCCCTAGTTTCCAGGGACAAAATATGATGACTTTGGCCATCTAGCGTAATTACAACCCTCTGCAGTCTTATTTACAGAGCCGATTCATTCCCATGATGATTTAATTTCTAGGTCACATTTATGAATGCTTAAAAAAATGCTGGCGATATCTGGCTGTGGTTTGGCTTTTTTAAATCCTTCATTGATTTATTCCATATAAGGCCTTTCCCCCTCAGTTGTACACTGGCTGTATCGACATGTTTGACCTATTTATAACCTGAGCACCAACGTTAACATCGAAGAATCCCAAAAGGATCCCTATGACAGAGGCACTGGTTTAAAGAAACATTCAGCCCACCTCAGCTGTGTGGACACTTGGTCTGAGTTATTGTAGTATTAAGTATGCCTGTTCTAATCGGTCCTAATCATAGGTCCTAAAGCAGGTTTTTCAGTTCCTGCTTCTCATTGTAACAGACCTTATAAGGTATGTTGGAAATGCCTTTTTGAACAGCAGGTTAAAGACACATAAAAGGTCATCGTCGAAGCAGAGGAGAGTTTCTAAACCAAATCAGTCCTGCGTGTGTTCACAAAGTTAGATAAACTGATAATTCCAATTTGGAAATATGGAAATGCTGATTATGTCAGATGTAGTTTGGAAACTTTCTGACATTACCTTTTTCTGAAAGAGGACTGACAAGTTTAACTTAAACAGGAAAATAGTTATTCTACGTACATATTGTTCACAGTTCTCTCATAACCAAATTACATGTTATCACCCACATTGCACATCCTACACCAAACTCATAATCTACATATTTATCATACCTTTTATCGTATTCTTTTCACTTTTTATCATCATTTCTATCCTGTATTTTCTGTAATTAATTCCTCTTAAAATGTCTTTGTTTATAGTATGCAACAAAACATTCCATGAAAACCTACTTGACAATAAACCTAACTCTGATACACAAATATAGGTGTTACTTATATACAAATATTGGACTTAAAAATCCACTATCAGTCTGTCTTTAAAGTTTAAATGGATTTTTTTGTGTGTGATAATTAGATTTTCTTCTGCACCTAAAAAGTTAAAACCCCTCTATGCTTTATACAGACCTTTTTGTTTTGCAAAGATCTTTCTTTCCTAATTCTTCACAGAGCCTCCATGATAAATTATGCATTGACAACCATTGTTTATAAAGCTTTTTTGTGTGATACCAGATTAACAATCACATGCATCCCTCCATTAGAGGCATTATTCTCCGCTGCGCTGATGACCATGTCAGTAAATATCCTGCTTTCTCTGTAGCTGCTCCAAGATGTTCTAATCTATGAGGCATGACCCGCGTGCTATTAGCGACAGAGGGCTTAGCTCCCATGTCTCTGGGCCTTCCATTAAACTGGAAAGCACTGAAGAGCTGTAATGAGTGGGTCAGGGAGTGAAATAGCGTGAGGGATATAGAAGAGACTTTCCGAGAAGGTTTGTAACTGTAAAGGTCAGTCTGTTTAAAAGACATTTTGTGAGTATTAATGGGTTATAAATAGGCTTGTAAACTGACAGACAGGCAGACAGAAAGACAGTATATTACTGAGAAGAAAAGGAACAACACAATACCTTCCCCCAAAGCAGATTAGATAACTCAGAATAGATTAAAAGTCAGAGTTGATTGTGCACCCGCTCCCAAAGATAAGACAACATACGGACATCTCTCTGTTCCCTCAGTGTGTGTGATGTGAAGGTCGCAGTGACAGAGAGGTTTTATTGCAGCATCAGCAAAAAGTGATGCTTCATCAGAAATGCATGTCTCTTGATTGAATAACTTCAGCACACAGCACATTTTGTTCTTTACATCTGCTTTAGTTTGAGGTGAACCAATTCCACTTTCTTCTCCATCCCAGCACCTATAATAGCCCGGAGGATATTGGATGAGACTGTGTTCGCTTGTGAAACCAAACTTGATTTGTCATTGTATTTGAGGAGTTTTTCCTCCTCTTTATCATATACCAGCAAACAAAAACACATTTTATTAATGTTTGTTATTTTTGGTTTTTATTTCTCTGTCCTGAGAGAAAATATAAAAAGATACTTACATTTCGCAGTGTTAAGCTCTTGTCATGTTATACTTAGATGGTATAGTATGATAGTTGCCTGTTTTTAACAACACTTAATATAAAGTATGATAGCTTATTAAAGTTAGCAGCCCGATGCTAGTATGTTGGATTAGCAACGTGCCTTTTTAAATCTTTTTAAAGGTCATAAAGTAATATGAAAAAACATCTTTTATACAATGTTAGTGGACAAAGAGGAATAAGTGTCAGTGAAACCTTTTAGATATGAACTCTCGAGAGGGCAGATCCTACCACTCTCTGTACCCATCACTCAGCTTGTTTTGTCCAGGCTCTCACCTTGCAGCTATAGAGGGAGGCCTCCTGTAAAGTCGAATGAGGCTCTGTGTTGGAAGTGCTGTGTGCAGGCTTTTAGTCTCAGCCCTCACGGCGTCTCTCCAGCTCGATCAGAAGCTGTACTCCTTTGTTGTTCTCAGATACTTTATGTGTCTCTGGGTGAATGTCTGGATATGGCCGCTCAATTAATCGTATTTTAATTGCAATTATGATTTTGGCGTGCAACGATTATGAAAACAACGTAATCGAAATAAAACGATAATTTATTTTCTTTATTTTTATTTGTTTTGTATTGGTTTTTCAGTTGAATTATACTTTAAGTTCAGGGTAATCAACTGTTAAAAACATACTGTTCACATTTTCTTTTTCAATAAATGGATGTTTTCAAAGTAAATGGATAATCGTTTTTAATAATCGTGATATCAATTATTGACCCAAATAATCGAGATTATGATTTTTGCCATAATGGAGTAGCCCTATGTCTGGATTTAGGAGTGGGGAAGGAGACGTGTATTCGTTTGAAACCCTGCAATGGTTAGTAGCACGGAAATGGAATAAGTACTTTTATTATGAACTCCTTTTGTCTATCACACATACAGTACTTGTTATAAATCACCTAACACTGAAGTTGTTGCAACATGGCATTATACCATCTGACAAAATAGCCCCCTTTAAAGACGATGTTACAGCTATTTTTCATATTTTATAGAACAAAATGTACAATTAACAATTTTTCCACAATCTGCCGATTATTTTCTCATTAATCGTTTGGTCTATATATATTTTCAAATTATAAGGAAAAGGGTAAATTCCAGTTTAACCGGAGCACGGAGCTTGAACCGGAGTTGCGTTGGTGTGAATGAGGTAATGTGAAGTCAGGCTTTTTGTACCTTGCATTGACCGTGAACAGTAATAAATGTTTTGCCCAGTAAAAGGATATTTGGGCACTAACAACTCTATTTGCTTCAAATGGTGAAGGAGACTATTTAAGATTAGAGCCAGGTGGCTGTTTCTCTGGTTATTGATCCGTCTGTTGCAATTGATCGACATCCGTTTATTTTGTGCTGCTTCGGAAAAAGGTCCCCCTTCCACCAAACCTTCCTCCCTCCCCCTTACCTTACACACACTTCTCATCAATCACTAAATAAATTGCTCATCACCTTTCCAAGAAAGCAAATTCAATCAGGATCAATTTGTGTTGACTCAGGAAGCTATAAACCTCTAACAGTCTGTGCAGCATTGGGCTTTTATGTTAGTAGTGCTGCTTGGAAATCACTTGTCTTTTCTTTAATCTTTCTTTCCCATATTTTTAGCGGCTAGAATGCACAAATCCTTGAGAATGACTAATTCAATAAATATATTAGCAGATTTCTTGGTGTTAAGTTATCTGTCTGCCAAATCACTGGCACTTAACCACATTGGATGCTTCTGGTTCTCTACGCCGTGCTGCAGCGTCACAGTGACCTTCCTAAAGTCTGCACTGGCCTTGGATCTGTGCCACAGCCAGAGCCAGAGCTACAGTACATGAACAGGGATTATGGTGCATGTGAGGTCAGAAATGGGTTATGCGTGATTTAATCACAGTCAGAGTTCACAGCTGTCAGCAGGCTGGCGGCAGAGTAGAGGCACCACTTTGTTTCTCTTTGTTTTTCAATTCAACCTTGGCTCACTCACATTGGTGTGTTTTCTTTATGCTTGTGTTTGTCTAACTGACAGCCTTGTTTTCAACCTTTAGTTCTTACACTCCCTTTATCTGAATCGTACTATTTATGTGTCATTTAAGAAACACACACTCATTCGGTGTCTTCCCTCAGACAAAACTCTTCCCTCCTCCCCCTCAGTTCAGACAGCACCCTGCCTCTGTTGTGTCTCCTTGTGGTTAACGTGAGGTCAACAAAGCAGCTCTGCCACATTCACCACTCTGATGGC